AATCATGAGTATTTACTAAACGAATACTAAAAGTTTACTCATCTTCAGAGGCAGAAACATACCACGTGAGAGATGTCTCAAACTAGCTTATATTTGGAATGGTGAATAGCACAGTAAACTACTATTACTCCTCTTCCTTCCCAGGTAACAGGAAGAGGCCAGGGACCTTGACACAACACCCCTCCCCACCCCCATATACACACATTTCCCAGAACCAGTGTACATCAGAGCTGGCACAGAAGGGGAAATAATCTGGACCAGCAAATGGCCTAGGTGTACCTTCCCACCCACTACTGAACACAAGGGAAGCTGGAATCACATGGTGAGGCAGAGTTATTATCTGATTCATGCCCTCCTCCTGAGGCAATGCCGCTATGCACTGTCCCACTGTATTTGAACTAGATTGTAATCCTATAATCTAGCCCTATAAAACTTCAAGAGCCAGGAGTGGAGGCCTTTAATCAGACATTTCTTTCAGCAGAAATTTATAACACTGGAATCAGGATTTGGGCTAGAATTCGTTATTTTATTTCACACTAAGAACATTACTTTGGCTGCAAAGTCAAACACTTGAAAAGTTAGGAAAGGGTAGATTTATGGCTGCATTTGAGACCTTAATTCGACTTCTTTTGCAGTCATCCTGCAAACTGGATGAGGCCAGGGTCCCATGGAAAAGTACTGTTTGGTCATGTCAGTAAAAACGCACAAGGGGCCTAAATTAAGGTTGCACAGGTGATGTTAATTCCAGCATTTTCTGTCTTTTCAGTACTTGACTTTGCAATCTGAATATCATTCTTTTCATATTTTTTTAACGGATGTCCTATTTTTTTAAAACAAAGTAAAAAAAAAAACACGTTAGGAAAGCAACTGTAACAACATCTCCCACCCCCATCACACAGTAACAGCATTTGAACCCTGGATGTACTGCATTGTACCACAGTTTTATACTAATTGAGCTCTAAGCTGCTCTGTGTTGACTAGGAGGCTGTTATCCTAGGAAGGTGGGCTGCTGGGGCCTTGTTCTTCTTCCTGAGAGCTGGAGAAATTCTTGACCCATGTGCTGCCCCAATGGGCAACTGGGGCCATGAGCTGGGTTCACGGGGTGGTTGGAGAAACTTGGTCTGCCACTTTCTCCACACACTTGCTGATCCAGAAGCGCTCTGGAATTCCCAGTCCATTGTTGTCTACTGTGGGTGCTTTGATGGTAGCAGGAGCCCTCTCTTCAGAATAATTGTGTTCCATCATTGTTTTGGCATGCAGCCAACCTTTGCTTGAACAACTCAAACAACAGAAAGTTAATAGAAACCATTGAAAGTTGCTATCTCAGCAAAACCTGAATGGAATTGTATGGGACAAGGAAAGGCATTTTTCTAGCCTGGTGGCTTTCCCCATGTCAGTTATCCAAGACTTGATGCAAACAATAAGGATCACAGAGTCTGTGAAAAGAGGTAGTAAGAATCTTTTCTAATGTAAGATATTGGGCAATTTAACACGGGTTACTCCCAACTACCTCTACAATAGCTGACAGCAAAATTTGGCCCAGTTAGCCTAATAGCAATAGGTCCCAATAGCTAACCTGTAGTTTAATGACAGGAAATACTGTACTAGTTATGCAAGTTGAAAACCTTTCCTAGCAGAATATTCTTTTCTCAGACAGTAGCTACTAGCCTGTCACTCTTTCTGTGCCAGAAAGGTAGTGGAGTGATAACTGGGGCTACAGCTTTGCCCTAATTGTGACTGGGACTGTGAAATTTGAGTGAAAGTCCATAAAATGTCACAGTCTATAACAATAAAAGCTGATGGGAAGAGGTGCAAAGAAGACAGAGTGAGTACTAACACAAATGGAAAGGCCTACTGGGAATTCAAGGACAAGCAATGTTAAGATAATGGCTGGTAAGAGAAGGGAGGGACAGGAAACCAGTGAACTGAAACTGGTGGGTCAGAAATTAGGCCTTAGTGGAGAGCTAAATAATGAAGAGATAGGCTCTTCTGCCCATCACTCCCTTTGCGGGAATGGGGGTGTATTTCAAAAAGGGATTATGTAGGGGAAAAGCAGGCTATTGTGAGGCTGGCTGGCTGGCTGACAGAGAAGAGGAAAGACCAAGCTTCACAATCATGGTTTTCATTCCCACCATCTCCTGGGACCCCAATATTTACTTGAAAGGTGCTAACCCATTGGCAGTCTGTTCCTAGCAAGTATCTGAGCAAAGCCTGAAAAATGGAACCCTTCATTATAAAGCTGTTCTTTAGGGACAACTGGGATTTGAGAAACATTCACATTTTTGTTCATTTTTTTCCCCATTAGTCATTTATAGTTTGTCACTTTGCTTGTTTCTCAAAGAGTGGAAAGCAAATAAAATGTAGTATGTTCTGAAACAGACCAACTGCTGAGTCTTAAAAACAATATAGATTAAATAAACCAGTCATCTGATATTCATTGCAAGAAATGGCATACACAATAGGAAACTGTTTGTTTTAGGGGTATTTCAGGGTTGGCAATACAAGAGGAGAGTTTAAAATCTGCCAAGGGTGACAGATGAAAAAGTGACAGGAAAAAAGTTCAAATACAGAAAACAGTTTAGAAGCACAGCAGGACCCAATCCTGAAATCTTCCCAGTAAAATCCCTAAACTCTGTTCTAGCAAAGCATTTAATCATTCTTAATTCTGAATAAGAGCCCCATTGAAGTCAATGGAAATGTGCAAGTGCATCGCTGAACCAGAACAATAGAGTTTTTGATCCCGGTCCTACAGCCTTGTTTGAGTTTGGACTACAGGATCAGGCCCGTTTAGGTGCTGGTATGTGCCTTAGGCACTACACAAAGTCTTGCCAAGGTCATTATGAAAGGCTTCTTGGAAGACTCTGGAGAGGGAGAAAGAGGTTGTTTTGAAACAACCAGTAATTTAATGTTCTGTGGAGAGATCATCAGTAAACAGAGTGTTGTGGTTTAATCTAGTCAGGACTCGGATTTAGCTTGTTTGCAGCATTACGACACTACTCTAGCACTACTACTACTACTACTTTAGCATTACTAGCACTTCTCTTAAACTGTTGTTTTGCTCTAAACAATCTCAGGTTTCATTTTAAAAAGAAAACAATGAGTCTCAAGATGTTGCACAGAAACCCCTCCAAAATATGGACTGAGTTTAACTGTGGGAGAGACATCTAACTGACCTGCAGAGAATCTGAGCGATAGTTTTGAGAGTGCACGAGACGATAAATAAAATATTGACACTTCAGGTATTTCATTTCTTATGTAAGGAACGAGAGCGAGAGTCATAGATCTGCACAATTTACTGTAAGTGATGTCTCATTCTGGTGCCACAAGTGGGTGGCATGTAGGAGATATTGTCACTCCCTTTCCCCCACCCCACTCTAGTCTAGAGGGACTCCACTCTAAAATACTTAGTACAGGTGGAATCTCTCTAGTCCAGCACCCCTGGAACCTGATCAGTGCCTAACAAGAGAATTTTCTGAGCCATGGGACTCAATATTGTCTAGCAGCATTCCTAACACTTTCACTGCTTGCTAGGCTCTTAGAAGACATGTAGGGATACATTAGAGCTATATAACAGCACAGAACACTGAGAACCAGGACTGGTGGTCATAAGCAAACTTTATGGAACCACGGGAAACTTTGCCACACCCATGATAAAGTGGACATCTGGCTAACTAAGATCATGCTGGACCAAAGATATTGCCGAACCAGAGAGTGCCAGACTAGAAAGGTTTAACCTGTACTAGGTATTTCAGACTTGGGTTCTTCTTGACATATGGACATATTCAAATCTTACTAAAGGGGAACCCAGAAAAGCTTGGAGTAGGCAACAGTGATTTGAACATTAGCACAATCTCTTCTGAGAAGAAGCACCTCATGTTGATGATTCATATGGATGGACACAGCTGATTCTGTGGGCAAAACTTGAAATAGCAGCACCGCCTCCCCCCGCCCCTGAAATTGGAGCCCAAAATTTAGAGACAGATTGCCACATCATCTGTTCTGCACCAAGCAGACTGTATCCTGCCCTTCCAAATCAAGGGACATCAAAAGCACCAGTCTGCAACTGCTGCAGCAGTCTCCAGCTACCTTTTTTCTGTAAAGAAGTTTGCCTAATGACTTCACACAGCCAATGTCTTCTGCTTGCCTTGTCATCAAAATTAATCTCTGCACTGATGGAGCACACCTCTAGGGCATTCACAAGAATGCTGAGCCTCCTGAGTGGACTCCCTGCCTCCAGTCCTCCTGTCCTCTGCAGTGGAAACACACCAGCTCTGCTTCCTTGGCTCAGCTACTCATGCAGATGGTTCAGAACATGGCTCAGAGATCTGTATAGGATCCTACTTAAAAGTCTGAAGTGTGTTGTTTTGAACAGGCCAAACCAGTGGCTCTCAGCCACGGAGTACCTTGGGGGTATGCAGAAGTTTTCAAGAAGATACCTTAACTCATCAATTATTTATCTAATTTACAACACACTACATAAAAAGCCTCAGCAAAGTCTGTACAAATCAAAATTTCATACAGACGATGACTTGTTTATACTACTCTGTTCACTGAAATGCAAGTATAATATTTATATTCCAATTGATTTGTAATTATAAGGTAAAAATGAGAAAGTAAGCAATTTTGCAGGAATAATATACTATGATACTTTTGTATTTTTATGTCTGAGCAAGTCATTTTTTAGTGAGGTGAAACTTGAGGGTCTGAGAGACAAACCAGACTTTTGGAAGTAGTTTGGAAAGGCTGCGAACCACTGAATTAAACAAGGTGTGTTTCTGAATCAGCAACAACAGTATTAATGTTTGTGTTTTTATACAATAAATTGCAAAGTATTTCACTCTAGTTTTAATACAGTGGCTACCCCATGACATACCACCCAGGAACTTTAGCGCTCATCATCTTGTTGTAAGTAATTATCTTGTTCCATATAATTATTAACTCTTGCTTCATGGATGAAAGGATTTATTTAAATCAGCTCCCATTTATTGAGTCCACATTACCTGCAGAATGCTACAGGCATATTCTGTGCAAGTGCAGTCTTGAAACTGTGGGTTCAGCTCCAGAAGTGATTCCAAAAGGAGGTGAATGACTTGTCTCAGGCTGAATTCCACAGTGCTAAGTCCCTTCTAAATAAACATGATCTTTAAGGAAAAAAAGGAAATTTGTAAAAGTTTTGTGACAACACGTGCATCTTATTCTGAGCAGTGCTGCAGTTGAGCCGAATGACCTGTTCTTGATTAACAAGGGGATAAATTGTAATAATCACCAAAGAACCGAAGTGAAGGCAAGTCACTCTTATTTATATTGCTGTTTTAGCCCTGGTCAGAAGAGGACTTCCCCCTCCTTTGGTTTGTCTTTGAGGCTGTGAGATGCTATGGGCTCTGAGCTCCCACTGAAGCCCACAGCAGTTGAGGTAGCTCAGTACCTTGTAAGAATATACCTTACTTGACTGATCAAGGGATAAGTCTAAAAATGAGTAATGGATTGAGGGTTGGTTTCCATACGCAAATACTGGATTAAGAGAAAAGAGTGATTTAAATGCACACACAAGTCCATATCCTGGCTTTACATGTCAAGAATTTATGCTCATAGGTGTGGCATTGAATAAAGACTCATAGTGGTAGATGGCCACTGTTGGGATTTCAATCTGTATTCAGAGGGAATGTTTCTTTAGAGGCTGAGATTTATTGCAATTCTTTCCCAACATTCAATACTCTGAATAAATATTTCCTGACCTAATGTAAAGAATAAAAGGAAAAGTGAAGAAAGGCTACAGAAAATATTATCTCAGCATTAAAAAAGGCAATAGTTAAAACAGAATGACTGTCCCACAGCTTTTTACCTGGTGATACCTAAGAAAGTTAGCTTCCATGACCAGGCCCTACTCACAATTTTGTCTCTGTCATGTACTTCTGTATCAGATATGGACTGGGCACAGTGCTGCCTTTTGAGCAAGAAACACACAGGGGGTACATCTACACTGTGGGATTTTTTGGGGATACCAGAGGCATCCCGGAAAAACTCCACTGCGTCCAGGGAACACGTTTGCTCTTGCGCTTTTTTCTGTGGAAGAGGGGGATTTTCTAAAATTTGGCCCAGTGTAGCGAGCCAAATTTCGGAAAAGCCTCTTCTGAAAAAAAAAATTGGAAAAAGCTATGCAAAATGCGGAGCACATTTTGCATTGCATTTTCCAAAAAGCATCAGTAGTGTAGACCTAGCCAGGATGTGTTTATCATCAAATCTTTTAATGCTCTGCTAGAAATGGCAGAGGAACAAACTGTAGGTGTCAGCAGTACCTTTCATTCTTCTTTGTTGGTCTCAGTCACACGTGATCTGGGCTCTGAATTCTTTTTCTTTATGACAGCTGGAGTTCTTTATCCTTTTCTCTGTCCAATTTGATATGGATACTGTCATCAGGTTCTGGAGCCAGCAGCTCTATGAATATCATCTGATGTAAAGTATTTTAAGCTCCTCCCCTTTTTATCGAGTTCATCTACTCTCTTCTTCTCCTGCCACTTTGGAAATACATTATTTTCCCAGGTAGGAACAGTAGTTCTGAGTTGTGCTGGACTACATTCAGTGGCTGCTTTTGGTGTTGATGTGGAACTCAGAAGAACAAGGAATGAATCGTCCTGAAGTAGGATTTTTGTAACCTTCTCAACCTCTCCATTTGCTAATGGGTACTGTGGGCAGCTACTAATATGATCAAAATCATATTTCATTCAGAACGACTTACATTCCTCTTTAATGAATTCTGGTCTGTCCATCACTCGTTTTGGAATAGTAAAGTGAGCTAAAGTGCACTTCAATTTCTCAATAACCCTGCAATCTGTTATGTCTTTCTAAAACATTATTTCTATATACCTGTGAAAAACAGTCCACATCCACTGGGGGTATTGGTGTCCTCTGAATTTGCATATATCTGTTGATCTTCCAAGGTCTCCCTGGCAAAGGTGTTTGTACACTGTGTGGTTCAGCATTGTCTCTTAAGTTGATTAGTACTGGGTCTCCTTTCAAAACTCCAATATCGTTAAATCCTCCATTGAGCTCTTCGACTTTTCTTACTAGGTCCATCATGGCTGTTACATTGCAGCTGAGAATGTTGTTGGGCTTTGATCATGTGCTGTAAATGCAAAGCAATTGTCTTTGTAAGTTGTTTCTGTGGCAACAGGTTCAGAGGACCTGCAGGGCTATTCACTGCTGTGTCAGGTGATTTCAGCTCTGGGAGGAGCTGCAGGTGATTGTAAATCCCTTCTGAGATGACAGTGACATCAGCACCTAAATGATGTGGCCTGTTTTTAAAGTCAATAGTCTTGCTAAGAATGTTGAGTTTCATTCTCCATGCAGGCTTTATATTGTCATGAGAGATAGATTCCAGAAACAATGGCTTTTGATAGTCTGTAATCTTGAGTCCACCCCCTGACTGCTGTGGCATCAAACAGCTACAAAATGTCCATATTTCATGCATTTATTATACCTTGTGTGTCTGGCTGAACATGCATTGCTTCTTGAAATATGACTGTTTCCATACCTTGTGTGTAGGCTTCAAATTGACCCTCTTGGCCTGGGAGCTCTCTCTCTTTTTGCCACTGAGATTTTATGATAAAGATTTTTAACACTTCCGTACCTGGTGAGATTTTCTAAGCTAGTGTGAGGTGTTTCCGTTTTCACTAGGCTTTGCTGTTTCACCACTTCAGACTGTTTTGCTATTTGAGTAGCTGTGGCAAAGGTTTAATTTCTCTTCAAGCTGTACCTGCTGTTAAAGGTTTTTATTTGTTGACCTAACAACAAGCCTGTCTCTGATATTGTCATGTTTTTCATTCCCCATATCACACTTCTTCAGCCAATGTATGCACAATGTGTATAAATCATTCAGTATTTTCACATGGTTCTTGAATTCTGATGGAAACAGGATGTTTCATAAACCACACTTCTCTATGCATAGAGTATAGAGTATGCATCAAACACCTAGGATCCTTTCCTAGCCATCTCTGTAACTATTTTTAGTAAAATCAAAGGATTTAAAGAGAAGCTCTGCCTTCTTCCCCATAGCATAAATTACAGAAGAAATCCAAATATGTCCAGTTTCTTACTGAGGTTGGCAGCAATGAGAAATCTTGCAAAATATCGTTTCCAGTCTGACTATTCTGAACGTTTGACAAAGCTGAAGTTCTCTGGGGGCATTGAAGAGTTGCAAGTTGCTGAGATCCTGCAACCTTGGTTGCTTTGTTCCTTCTGTTTGCAACCTTTGTTGCTATTCCTTTTATCTCTATTCAGAGTTTATTCCTGACACCATGTCACATACTTCCGGACTAGATAGGGATTGGTCACATACTTTCCATCTGAACAAGAAACATAACAGATGTGTTCATCATAAGAACCTGTAGTGCTTTTTGCCAGTTAGGGTTGAGGTTAGTTTAAATAAGGTATTTCACACAGTGCCATAGAGTGGCTGACCAGACTTATACAGTTGAATATTCTATTACCATTTACAAACCACAAAAACTTTGGCTGTCTAGTAAGCAAAGTTTTCAAACTGCAACAACAAAAAATGTCAGAAGCAAAGGTTTATCTGCCATGATGGTCCAGAAACCTCTGAATTCAATGAAATGAATGAAGAAAAAGATAAAAGAAGAATAAAAATGTTCTTTCCAACTTGAATGATCACCACTGCTCTTATTGGATAGGATGATTTACTGACCGAAGCACTAGGGCTGAATTCTGCCTTTTGTTACACTCGTGTAACCTCTGATAATCTGAAACACTTAAACCTACATTTTAAGAAGTGATTAATGATTTGGGCTGTTTCACTATTGGGGCGTTCGGCTTGCGAAGAAGCTCTTGAGAAGCCTGATTTTGAGAAATTAATTGGAATGTAATGAAAATTGAAGCTAAAACTTTTCAAAGAAATGTTTAGTGTAGAGCACACACTTCTTGGAACAAAAGATTCCACATTTTGGCAGGGTCCGTACAGTTTAGTATGTGTGGGAATTTCAGTTGAGACTTTAAAACCAATTTCCTGTTGACTTTTCATGGATGTTAAATATTCCATGATACATTTATGGAAACAAATATTTGTCCTTGTGTGCCCAGAGCCCAGTTTTCTTCACTCATTATTGTGCAGTGTGTTTTGGCCTACTGTCAATCCAGCTGCTACTCTTCCTTCCCAGAAATAGCTGCATGATTCATTCTAAATAAATATATAATATAGTATCTATCTATCAATCATCTAATCTATAGTTTGTGTGTGTGTGTGTGTGTGTATTTTTGCCTGACTGCAGGCTATAAAGACGGAGCCGTGTTCCTCTGTAGCCCATTACTGACAGTAGCCTCTCTGGATGCTGTAGTTAGAGGGAATTTGGCAAATTGATTTGTCCACATGGAACCACTAGCCATGCCTCTATTCCTCCACTAACTCATCTTCAAAACTTCCTTTGTATTAAAGCAAGTGAAGATTCAATGAATATCCATTCACAGTGCCTAGTGTGTGATGGATCCTGTACAGAGTGCATTTTCTACCTCCACACTTCCCTCTTTCCTGCTGCCCTGTGTGCATGGTGGGACAGAGGGGAGACAGGGTTTTAGCCTATGTACAAAAGGTAGCATTATAATTATTAATAGTCTTGGACGATATCCCAGAATGACATCAGGCTCACTAAAACACATAATAAGTCACTAAGATGATTAAACCTAATTTAAGCTCTTTCCTAGAAGTCACTACCTCTCGCCTACATTCTTGCATCTGAAATGGAGAAGATTGTTCTCCCTAGGCTCGTTTCATTTACAGTGCTGTAAATCTAGTAATTCCTAGGCATGTAAAATCCTGCTTAATTCATTAACTGATTAAATGTTAAGTTTAACCAGTTAACGAATTAAACGGGGACGAGACAAGGGGGAGGGGGCGTGTTCCAGCCGCAGAGAGGCTGGAGTGGCCCCCTGCCATGGACAGGGCTACTCTGGATGAACTGGAGCGCCCTGCCCACAGCAGGCCCCGCGAGGCTGGAGCAGATCCTTGCCCACAGTGGGTGGGGACTACTCTAGCTCCCACTGGCTAACCATAACCAGTAAGCCTCATCCAATAAGTGTGAGGCTTACCAGTTAACTGGTTAACCATTCACATCCCTAGTAACTTCATCAAACTTCAAAACTGATACACTAGTTTTAAACTAATATAAACAAATTTGGAATCAAACCCCTAATATTAATATTTAGTTCTTCTGCTTGGCTGGAATCATCACTCACCCCATGAGGATACTATATTTGGTGTGTTTTTTCTGGGCAGGATGCTGACTCAATCCCAGTTAAATGTGGGACCTTTCCCCCCAAGTTCATTTCTGGTTGTATGGTGCCACAGTACGTTTCTGGATATGGAGTACCATTGCCATAACTATTGTCATTGGTACTACTGATTTAATTTTAAACACCTAAGCTTTAATTTATTTTATATTTTTCCTTATAATGCTCATTGCAGTATCTGAGCATCTTAAAATGGCCAATGAATTCAGACTCTTCACAGCCCCAGGTGCTCAGAAAATATTAACATCCTCAGTTTACAATTGACAACACTGACATAAGAAGCCACTCAGTGCCAGTTTTTCAAAAGTGGCCTCTGATTCTGGGTGACTCAATTTCTAGTTGCCCACCGTGGGACTTCTGTGTCTCAATCTGCACAGGTGAAAAAGCTCTCATTGACTTGAAGTTAGAGTTATGGGTGTTGGCCCAATATGAGTCAAGTTGGGCAATCAAAAATTGACACACCTAAAATAGAGGCAACTTTTGAAAACTCAGCTCTTGGTACTTTGCTCATTATTACTGTAGCAAGGTGGTCACCTCGCTCCAGGAGGGGAAAAGGTTAAAAACAGCCCTAGAAAAGAGCAAATAGGAGGTGAGTAGCAGACATTCACTCTAGTTCTGGAGGCAGGGCCAGACTAAGGGGTGGGCTAGCCAGGCAGCTGCCCAGGGCCTCAACCTACGGGGGGCACCTGGCTCCCGGGGGGCTGCAGTGGCCGCCCAGAGCGGGGGCCGTGTTAACCCTTGCAGCACTGGCCAGCAGCACCGTCCCCCCGCAGCCGCAGGGCCCTGCATGGCCAGGCACAGCCCACCCTGGGCAGCCCTGGGCTGTGCACCATCAGCGGTGGCCAGGCTGACTGGGCAGCACATGCCCCGTGCATCCGCCCACGCGCCCGGGGGTGGGCCCGCGCATGCGCCGTGCACCCGGAGGTAGGGCTGTGTGCCCCGGGGGCGGCGCCGCATGCCTGGGGCCCAGGGCGCCAAAATGGCTCAGCCTGGCCCTGTCTGGAGGGAGAAGGACATAGCTGCCTGTTAGCATAAGAACCGTGGAAAGAGCAGTGCTGGGGAAAGGCAGGGTGAGCCAGAGTAGCCCTGGCTTGAGCATTCCCAGGCTAAAGCCCAGCGACAGGATCCTGAGGGGAAACTAGGACTGCAGGGAGGCAGCCAGGGCTGGAGAAGGCAGCAGGTCCACACCCCCTTGCCTATGATGAGTGGCCATTTCAGATTGAAGTTTGTCCCGAGGTAGGACGCAAGATCATGACTGGAAATAGGGTCACTGAGGCAAGGTGAGTATAGGGAATTAGGAGGATCCTTAAGGGGGAAGACCCCAGAACAGGTCTGGGTAAAATATGGCCTGCGGGTTGGATCTGGCCTGCCAAGCCACCGGATCTGGCCCGCGGAGGCAGTGGGGAGCCCCAGCCAGGTTCCCTTGCTTGCCCCGCATGCCACTCAGAAACCTGGCTGTGGGGAGGTTTGAGTCCGGAGAGGAAGGGGAAAGATTCAGATGCTGCTTCCACCCCAGCACAATCCCATTGTCCAGTTTCTGGACAGACACTGGCCAATGGGAGCTGCCAGTTTGAAGAACAGGCAGCCACAAAGCACAACCTTCCTGCTCACTCACTCAAGCACATGGCTGAGCAGGCAGAAACATTTTAAGCTCTGCCTTTAGCTTGGCAGGCAGGCAGGCAAGCTGGTAAGTCTCCTGGGGTATGTCTACACTACCACCCTAGTTCGAACTAGGGTGGTAGTGTAGACATACCCCAGGAGACTTACCAGCTTGCCTG